CCTTCTGCAAGCTCTGTCTGGTATCAGAATGAGAATTTTCAATGAAATTATCTTTTGTCATGCGTTCAGTTCCCCTGATTTTCAAGGGATTATTATGGCAACAAATGTCACTAACCTAGTTTTTCCTTCCAGTTATTTGGAAGAACCTTGCAAGGAGACTTTAATGAAGATCAAGTTGTACAGGTTAGTATACGTGCATTTGTTTCTTAATGGTTATGTTCACTGAGATATAATTTTCAATCTTCAAGTCTGCCTTACAGAAGAAATGATAGCTGGCCAGCCATCACAAAGTCAAAATTTTCTTGCAAGCCATGCAAGGAGAATGGCTGAGCTGTTCCACTTTGAAATACAGGCTGTGTAGCTGTTGTGAATTAATTTAGGTGTTGAACTTTCCTTGTACTTACCTCACTAAAATATAAAAATAAAAAATAGAAAAAATTGGTAGAGCATCTTTCCCTTACATTAAGATCAATTTTTCCCTTCTCTTTCAAATTTCAGTTACTCATTAGCACAGTATGGAAAGTCACCATATCTCTATCCCTTATATGGCTTGGGAGAACTTCCACAGGGTTTTGCCCGCCTGAGTGCAATATACGGTGGAACATACATGCTGGATAAGCCTATAGAGGACATCAAGTACGATGAGAATGGTAGAGTTTGTGGTGTCACTTCACAGGGAGAAACTGCCAAGACAAAGATGGTGATCGGTGACCCCTCTTATTTCCCTGACAAAGTGAAAAAAGATGGCCAGGTGAGTCAGTTGCGACCTCTTTGAGAACCTTTTTGTTGCAACTCCAGTCTAAATGCTTTGTAGTGGTTACCTATCAAGTATAGCCATAGCAACAGAGGAAAGCAACAATCTCCTCAAAAGCCAAATAGTTGTTAACCCTTAGCTCCCAGATGTGATTAACATGTCACTTCTCCCTAAACTATCTATATAGTGTACAGCAAACAGGTAAAGAATTCTCAAACTTATCAGGTAGAAGTTGTCAAATCTCTGGCACTCAAGATGTAAGGAAACCTGGCCTCTTAAACTCCAAACAATTTAAATTCTGAAAAATAATAAGTCAAATAGCACTGGCACCAGACCAGGGTTGGCAGTTATGGGTTTAACAATCAAATCTTGGGATTTAAAGGGTTAACTCCCAAACAGACCAAAAGTTTGATCAGCAACCTTTGAAATCTAGCAAAACATGTAGCTTTGTTTTTTCTTTCATATGACATTGTACACAGGTTGTTCGTTGCATATGCTTCATGGATCATGCTGTTCCTAAGATCAAAGATTCTGCCTCTTGCCAAATCATCATTCCTCAAAATCAAGTGAGCAGGAAATCAGGTATGGAGAAATGCAATCATGTATGACAAGGTTTGGTTTAAAAACCAAAATTTCAAGACTGCCATAAATTGAAAGGCTAATAGCTAATGAGAAGGTTCCCCTTGAATTTGTGATAATTTTTTCAAGGGTTAAAAGGCTTACATTCCACAGTTTTCTCAAGTTTGGTTTTCGATCTTCCTGAAAGGGACTTGTAGGGGTGAGTGCAGGCTCATTTCCCAAACAGCAGCAGGAATTGAGCTTAAAGACTGCCTGGATTTTTGGTGTTTGACTTATGTTTCATTAGACAAACATGATGCAAAACCAGCTAGGACAAAATAAATTATGATTATAAATGAATCAAAACTAAAACAAAATTCAAGAAAGTGATTGGTTATCACCAGCCCAAGTTGAGCGCATATAGGACATTGTAGGTGTCATGATTGTAATTGGACAGTGTAATGGGACAGTGTAAACATCATGCCTGTGTAATTGGATGGTACATATTGTGTACATGTTCTTGTCACAACAGGACTTCTTCTTGTCAAACTGTCTGTAATTTATACTCATGATTAACAAATTGGACTTCCCCTTCCCAGTTGTGCAGTTTTCTAAATTGCTTGTATGATTACAGACCAAATTGGACTCCACTCAGTCCCATTACCATTACTTATTATTATCTATTACTATTTTTTCATTGTTAATTTTTTTCTTCCTTTAGATATCTATATTTGTGTTGTATCGTATGCACACAACGTGGCAGCCAAAAATTACTACATAGCTATTGTCAGCACAACAGTGGAAACAGCCGATCCAGAGGCAGAGCTGAAACCTGCTCTTGATCTGCTGGGTCATGTTATAGAGAAGTAGGTTGAGTAGCACAGTGGTCAAATGTTGGTCATGGAGATCAATTTTGGCCAGCCAAGCACCAATTTTTGTGCAAAAATTCAAAAGAATACTTAAGGAACAACTGCTGTGATGCCAAATATGCAAAACAAAAAAACAAAAACAAAAAAAGGAAAAAGACATTTATATGTTCATGTTAATATTTAAAAGGAAGCAAAAGTAGGGAAAAGGAAAACTGGAGTCCTTCATGTGCAAATTTAATTTAATTGCTAGTTTCCTGTGGATTTATCATTTTGTTTTAAGCTTTACTAAAAATGCTGTATGGTTTTCAGACACCACCACTTACTTGCTCGTGAGGTTGATTATAGGGCAGTTTGTTTTATTAAAAGACACCCTGAAACAGGCCTGTAGCATCTACAAAGTTTGCACGTGCATAGAGATTTGACTGCTGTGTAATGTTAAGTTTACCTACACTGGGACTAAAATTTTAAAAAAATGATTGAAATCCAGCTTACCTTATGGGACTACAACTTTAGATTGATATGTGGCCACTTACCTGAAAGTGCAGTATGTAAATTGCTCAGCTAGAAAAGCTGTCTGGTATGGAAAAACCTCTTTTTTTAAGCCATGCTTGCATAATCCCTAAGGAACATAAGGAGGACAAAATTTGTATCAAATTAATTATTACAGTCCGTCTCTCCTATTAAGAAATGAACTTTTGAGTACCACTGGTTTCTTACTTTGATATACAATTCAACTGAGTATTTTACAGCCATGTACACATTATTTGCATGTGCTAATGTCAGTGTGAAAGGATTTCTGTATGTTGTAGAGTAATCAAGTCTTCTCTGCTGTTAATTCCAAACACAAAGTAGATTTTGATCAATTTCAGTATAAAATATTTCCAGTGACTTAAAAAAGTTTAAAATTTGATTTGTGGTTAAATATACTTACATGTTTGGAAAGACTCTACAATTCTGGTGTGTTCTTTGCGCCATGATTTTGATGACAACCAGCATGTCTTCTCTTATCCTACAGATTTGTGAAAGTCAGTGATATTTTAGTTCCCACTGATGATGGCAGTGAATCTGGGGTATGTTAACCTTTCTAAATGTATCTTTCTTGATAGCAACCTTGCTTTCCTGATAACATTGCGCAAGGTGGACCCAGCTCAATGTAGCGCTCTGACGAAGGGCAAACACTCAAAATGTCAGCTTTGAAACTCTTTACAGGAGCCAATTTACATTATTAACTCTTTAACTCCTAGATCAAATGTGTAATTCTCCTTACCATCAACCATACAATTCTTTTAATGTTGGTTCAGAGAATTTAGTATTGGATCAACTAATTATCCCCTAATTGATATTTTTCTTTATTCTCATCACTTATCTGGTTGATATTGTATGGATATTGTAAGGAGCAATTCTGTCTTAATCACTCATGGGAGTTAATAGGTTAACTCAGTTGATAAAGCCAAATTATTTTCCAACCTAATCCCTTCTTATATTAACCCTTTCACTCCCAAGATCTATTTAGTAATTCTCCTTACTATCTGCCATACAATTCTTATGATGTTAGTTCAGAGAATTTGGCATTGGATCAACTAATAATCCCATGATCGATATTCTTCTCTATTCTCATCACCTGCCTGCTTGATATTGTATTGATATTGTAAAGAGAAATTCTTTCTTGGTCACTTGTGGGAGTGAAAGGGTTAAGTTATTTCTCTGAATAAGGTTTTCTGTTAAGACTGGGCCATGCTCCCCACAAATGATTAGTATCATTTCATTTGTTTCTTACTCAGCATACACTTTAACCCTTCAACTCTCAGATCAAATTTGTAATTCTCCTTACTATCAACCATACAATTCTTTTAATTTTAGTTCCGAGAAATTAGTATTGGATCAACTAATTATCCCCTATTCTTTATTCTCATTACTTATCTGGTTGACATCGTACTGATTTTGTAAGAAAGAATCTTTTTTTTGATCACTCATGGGAGTTGAAGGGGGTAAGGGAATGTTACCTGGCAAGAGTGTTTTTCCCCAATTCATGTAAGAATTTGCTGAAGAAAAACATGGTTAAGGTCTTTTTTAGCTAGTAAGCATGTTAACAAAAAAACAGGATGGTAGAAATTCAAGATGAATATATAACTTGCTTAGATTCAGCATGATTGTTAACTAATTATGTGTCTATGTCTCTCAGCTTGTTCTTGTAATAGAGGTTTCCCTGAAATGATTGACCTTCTGTTAAATGAATTTTGTCCTGGTTACTTTAAGGTTTTTATCACAACCACCTATGATGCCACAACACACTTTCAAACAACTTGCAAGGAGATTGTGGATATCTTCAAACGCTGCACAGGGGAAGATCTTGACCTTTCAAGTGTGCGGGAAGATCTGGAAGCTGCTCAAAGAGAATAGAGTATTTGGAAGCTTGCTGTGAAGTAAATAGAATTATGAAATATTTGGACCTGATGAAACCCAATCAAAATATCAACCTATGATATCTCATTGTAGTTTGTATTCATTGTAAAAATACCCTTCATAGCTTGCTAGTGAAAGCCAAGCTTGGTAGACCTTTTCACCCTAAACATTCCCACATTCTCCTTACTGGCTGCCATATACTTTCTTTCTTGTTGGTTTGAGAAGTTGGCGCCAGAGCAAGTCATCATCGTCTAACTGATGGTCTTGTTTAACTCCCATCAGTCAGTTACTTAACAGTATTGTGACACTGTAAGGAGAATTTGTATACTGATTGCTTCTGTGAGTGGAAAGGTTTACAACTGATGAAGTTCTTAAAATTGACATTCCTTGTTTATATGATTCATGTGATTTTTTACCCTTAAGCTTTGCTGGCAACTTCTTAGTCAAAACTCATTTTTGTAACAACTTTCACCCTGTAGATTGCCATGGGTATACACTTTTAGCACTGTTCTTTGCAATCAGTGTATATCTGGAAGGAATGAAAGTTAAAAAGACCAGTCTTCCTTCATTGACCTTCCAGTTTCTGTTTTGCCATTGTTTAGAGAAGGAACGCATGGGAATGGAACAGTACGTTTAGGATTTCCTCTCACTCCTGAATTGTTCTCTGATCATTTTCATTAATTTTTTTGCTAATCTGTGAGACTTTTGTGCAAATAAATGGGTTTTATATGATCCATCTTGTGAGGATCAACTGGAGGAACACGTGGGATTTTCTTAGATTTCCCCCCTCCCTCCCAAAAGCAATGTCTATGGTTAAGGCTGATGCTTTGGGGCCTTTAGAAATGTGTGATAGATAGATAGGAGATCAAGATCAGCCTGTGCCTTTCAGTATGTGCTAGTTTTGTCTGTCTCAGTGACACTATGGCTGAATAGTACACTTTTTAGAATGCTCAAAACAAGATGAACCTGAGTTTTGACATTATAGATATTTGCTGTTGACCCTTTAACTCCCAAAATCTGATTGTCAATTCGTCTTTCTAGCTGCTAGACACATCCTTGTAAATTAGTTATGAGAACTTGGAGCTAGATCGAGATAACTACAGCTTCTACCTGATAAGTTTGAATATTCTCATTACCTGTCAGCTGAATAATATATTGATATTATAGGGAGAAGTTTCATGTCAATCACTTCTGGGATTTAAAGGGTTAACAAATTCTTTCAATGTATGCATGAGCTGTTAAGAAATATATGAAGAACATGAAATAGAATTTGTATCAGGGTAGGAGGTGCTTAGACAGTGTAGAACTCGCTTGGCTTTTCATGTTTTAGAAAACGGTTCAGGAGGTTAAGAAAGTCATGGAACTATCCAGCTCCCGTAAAATATAACTTTGTTAAATGATTTTTCTTCAGCCCTAAACATTTTGAGACTGGTTCATATAAACCATATGCATTTTCCATGAAAGCCCAGTCTTGAAATATCCATTGATTTATAAAGATTAGAGAGAGAAATAGAGAGTCCGTTTGTGCTAATAAATTTAAAATTTGTAGCTTGAATTGAATTGTTGTGTGGAATCTACATTAAAGAAAATTGCACTTGTTAAAGACACTATGCTTTAGAATGTTCAGACGACTGTCGAAAACTACCGAAGATGTTTCAGAAACCCAGTATTGTCATTTCAAACGCAATCAGAGAATTAGTAACACCCTGAATGCGAAAACACTGTGAAGAGCTGATAACTTATTCGTTTGGTTTCTCTTTTCCTTACGTCTACTGGGATAAAAAATCCGGAACACTGTCGAATTATTTTGAGTTTTCTAAATCCAACAGATATTCAATGTTGCTGAATCGGACTCGATCAGAGAACTGGTAACATGCTGAGTAGGAAAACGAGGTGATGAACTAGCGTTTTATACCCATTCAGTCGTTCACTGAGAGTTTTTCCACTCCAGCGTGCGAGTGGCAGTTTCGCGCCTGTGTCGGTGTTCAGTTTCTTAGTCCTTTCCAGTTAAGTCGGCCTCGTTCTCATTTCCCGCGCAAACAACCAATGGCGGGAAAAGAGGTGGCAGCCGCGTTATGAGTAAGCTTCGCGGGAGTAGGCCACTTACGGCGAAACCAAGGCGAAAATTAACGAGGAAAGGCATAACTCTACGCGCAGCCAGAGTAGCTGTACAACTATGGCGCTCACAGGAGTGAAAAAGGCCAGTACCAATTGTAAGTTGTCTTTCTCAAGAGTTAAGCTTGGAGTTCACGGGCCTTGCATGCTTACGCAAACGGCAGGCAGCGTGAGGAGGCCCTGGCCTTTTTCTCGACAGTTTCCTCTCTTTGTGATTAGACACGTCCTATTTTTCTGTTAGATTTATTTAAAGATTAGCAGAAAAGTAACAGAAGTAAGAGCTTATTTTGCGGTTTTCCCTTTAATGCATCGAATTGCTTAAAGTATATATAATATCTCGCAATAAGCCTGCGGCAAACTGCTTGGCTACCTGGTAGTATTTTCAAATCAACAGTGAAGTTTGTTCTGAAATTTACGACTTATCCAAGTCTCGCCAAAACGCGGTTGAATCAGGGAACTATGAGAAATCAATGATAGCTTTAATTCTCCTACAAAATTTAACAGCGAAATACTTCGGTTTTTATTACAAATCTTAGAAAGTACTGAGTAAGCGCGGATGTTAACAAGATTTCCGAATTTCAATCTAATGAGAGCCAACAGATCGCTTCATGAAATCTTTTTTAAGAATTTTAATAATAACCCTAAATATTCAGATTATAATGAGACGAAAATCTGGATATTTCTAAAATACTGTCATCTCTAACTTTTATGATATACGACGTCAGTGTTTAATGTCATCGGGTAGATAAAAGTGACATTTTTTGCTGTGAAAAGTAAAGCCATCTGGCATGTTTGATAAGGTGATGTGAGAAGGAGGGAATTGTTCTCTCGAAAATTCTTTCAATGAAATGACGCCAGCCCCAAAAAATTCGGAAACAATGAAGCTGTGTTAGATTATTGTAGAGGTGTCGATCTTAAAAAACCTTTGAAATGACTACATTCCAGAGTTGTTTTTGTTGTTGGTACTTTTCTTTTCAGTAAATACCCACTAATTTGCCAGAAGCAGTGCGGTTCAGATGGGCTTTGGCGGGCATACGTTTTGTCTTTTATATGTAAGAGAAATGAGATTTAAACACCTAGAGGTATCTACTTCACCGTACTTTCCTCCAGTTGTGTCATAATATAGTCAAACTAAACATGTTTCCCAATTTTTCTTTTCCATAATGTTCAGTGTATCAGTATAAATTAATCTATTTCTTTAAGACTGGGGCGTCGTTCATCTTTACAGATGGCTAGGAAAACATATCGGCTACAAATAACCTTAAACTTAAAAGCTTAAATCATATATGCTGTAATCTTACACGTTTAAGCCTGAGCTTCTTTCACATCTCGCGTTTCGGGAAAAATAAGACTAATTCCAAGACAGAGTCACGCTTTTGAGCGTAAATGATATTCGTTTCTTCAGGCTTATTATTGAATATGAGATTCAAATATATGTTAAATTTTCTGACAACATTTTAACTTCTAAGAACTTTTGGTCCACCAACAGACTAAGACCACAAATGATAAAATTGTTGGTTAAAATGACATAACCTGGACCACCCTGGACTGAAGAATAAACAAATTTAGATACAAGCAATTCTGTCGGCAATATCCAACAGCATCAGTAATTTTTAGCGACAGTTATTTCATAACCTTCACAGTTACAACGAACTTCACAGTTACGCAACTTTCATAATACTACGATTTGTTTCCCTGCCGCATAATCGTTTTTGATAGATTAGCCTACCCCACCTTAGAGATTAAAATCAATCTTGTTCGGCTCTTCTCTACACTAAAGAAACCGGCCCAGTTCGTGTGACAAACTACAACCTAAAACGGATTTAAAAACTGTTCAATCTGCCTGACATAGATCATCGTCTCAGTTACGTAAGTTTTGTTTGGTCTAATGTGTGGAAAGATTACCTACCCTTCATAAAAAATTAGCCTATGGCGCAAGAAATAATTAGTGAGAGTAACCTCTTCTGAAGTTTCCTAATTCTTGAACACTCATTGGCACTATACTTAGGTTTCAATGGCAGTTATAAAGGTATTAAGGGTCTAAAACGTCTAAGCAAATAGGAATTTAACCAAAACTCCAGGTTTTTAACACGATAAATGATAGCACAAGCTGTTAATCACTAAACAGAAAACCAATATAAGCTTGTTTGACATACGATTGATGAATAAATAGAAGCAAGAGAGGACTCTCTTGATAAAAGATGTACACGAAATCGGTTCAAATAACCGACAATTATTTACGATGGATACCAATTAAACAAAGATATCCATAACCATCTTTCAAGGCCAGTTGTTTATTTAGGGCGTTCAAAATCTTATTAATGTACAGCTATATAATTACAATGCTTTTAAGATTTCACATTTGAGTTGTGAATTTTTTTAAAAAACTCCGGTCTTAGTTTTGCTGACAAATATTTTTCTTTGAAGTTGGAAGCAAATTGTAAAGGCTACAAACTGGCGTTAAAAAAACGTACATAATAGTCTCTTAGTTATTCTGTAAATCGAAGAGGAATGCTTTTTCAGCCAATCACGAATGAACTAAGAACTAAGTAGATTTTCCACCGTTGGAAGCAGGTTACATGCTCTCTCGCGTTTATTGCCAGCAATATTGTTTGGTTGTCATGTGCTTTACAATGGAATGGAAATCTATCTGTTTACCACCCCATTTCCCGGTTTTAAACCAATGCAACACCTTCTAAACCCAAGTCCATATATATGATGCGACTACGTTTTTGATCAGCATACAACTCTCAGTTTACGTTTACATATATAGTGGGTCACAATTATTGCAGAGGTGGGGATAGTTAACAAATTCAAGAATTTGTTTTGATGAATCAGAGTCTTCGATAAAAATTCAACCGTGATGGAATGTCCAATTTGAGGGATCTGCAAATGGTTTATAACAAAACCGTGCTTAGATCAATATCAAACGGTATCGTAACAAAGTATTTTCTGTAAAGCTTAGTCAAACCATTAATTCATTAGATACGATCAAGACAGATTATGGTGAGACGAAACTAACATGACGCAAATCACATTTCTAGCATATAATTCAATTTTTGCAATATTGATTTTTTTTCTTATTTAAATTGTTTAAATTCATCTAAAACTCTACGGTTTTGTTTTACTGGAATTGTAATAAATACAATAAAAAAGGTACTTGTATAAACCAATTAACTGCAATTCGTTCCTCAGAGGAAAAAAATAAAATTATATAATCATTTCTCCTAACCTTAAGAGGAATTACTCATTTAGGAATTTCGTGTGTTGAGTAGATGAACTTTACGCTATCGAGCAAACTACCAGGCAGAGAGCACAAAAAGGTTTTCCTGATCGATTGTCCACAAAAGTAAACCGTAATAAAAGAGCTTCTTACGAACAGTGGCCAGGGCTCCAATTCGAAGCACCTTAATACAATATCTATTTACATCAGGGTTATTTTGCATATAATAAATTTTCTCAATGAATCAAACCTCTCTGATATTTTTGTTAATTGTACTGCTTGGGTAAATTTTTGCTAAGTTACCCATAACATGCAGAATATTACATAAAACTAAACGCTCTTTATATACATCATACAAGCTTCCTCTGCTGAGCTGCGGGCTTAAGCTTAAGATCGCCAAAGTAAAGAGTTGATAAGCGAACTGGTAAGTGCTGTCAGCGGGGTGCCAATGACAGGCCATAATTAGCCTAATTAACATTGTATCTAACAGTCATATTCAATAAAAATCAAATAATTTAGAATACAAAAGTCTGATGCCGAGAAATTGATCACAGCACTCTCAAGAAGTCCCGTTGGGAATTCTGAGAATTATGCAGTTTTACGAGGTTTCACCTCTTGGAAACCTTGCAGTCTTTGCTGATTCTGATATTTTGATACTGCCAAGTATGTAATTACACTTGAAGTCGACATAGAATAAACCACATTGCTGTGAACTGAAGCGGCACGTAGAGTCGTTTCTAGCCTCTACACACGATATCCACTGACTTCGCCTTGGTCAAGATCACAGGTGCCATAATGAAAGGATTAGCTTTTGGAAGTTTTACCTAGATTCCCGAGGTAATGTCATACCAACTTGTGTAAATTTTATGAAGGATTCTTGCATACCAATGCATACCTGAGCTACTGTGAGCAGTGATGCCCGGGAACAGCCAATCTGCAAACCTCAATGGGGCGAAACTCCAATGAGCTAATTCATGACTGGAAATCACGGCATAACACGAGCAGAGGACGTTATCAACTACGATGTTTCCAGTTTCCGTGAGTGGTGCGTATGCCCCCTTCGCTGTGCTCCGTTTGACTCCATTCACGCGTCCAGCTGTGAATTTCTCCAAACCAGCACCGTTTCGAATATAAACAAAGTCTCCGACTCTTAAGTCCCGTGCAAAACGCACCGACTCCAGCGGCGAATGTTTGTTTAGCTGATAGATCAAATGCGATTCCGTAATTGTCACTTCAGCCGCAGGGTTTCTCGTCTGGATGGATATATATTCACCAGAAGTGTTGGGTTTGATGTCTAGAAATGTCACCACTTTGCTATAAACTATGCGACCACTTGTATCCATGGCCGCAACTTTGTCTCCAATTCTAAGCTCCTTCATAGTCTTTGTACGTCCTCCTTCGAGGTGAACAGAAGCTGTTTCAGGAAAGCAGTTGTAACTCAGCCTTTCTTGTTCAGCATCTTCTTTTAAAAAAGAGAGCATTAAATCAGTCAATCAGAATGACGTAATTCATTTTTCAAATTCTCTTTCAAATAACTTTGAAACAAATAACCGCTTGCCTTTGAATAACACTTTTCAAGTTTCAAAGCCTAACCATACTTTATTGATATTTGTATTTTGGCACTTAACTTACTTCTTGTATACCATAACGAATATGACAGGTATTTGGCCTCAAATGAATAAATGCCACGTCCATAAAAAACTAAGACCAGCAACTAACCTATCTGGGAAGGGAAGCAATAGGCCTACAGGATCTGAGTTAAACCGAAAAAAGCTCATACAGCTATGCGAGTCAGTATCGTATGTATACTTTACCTACCAGTTTTAACAGATGCGTGAATGTAGCCTCTAGTTGCATAATAAACCCAATCAAATCCAGCCTCATTGGCCATCCTTCCTAACTGTGGGTATTTATTCTTATCAAGGTCCTCCGTAGCTATGTCGACAGCTCGTCCTTCATGGTGTAGAGAGTGCTTACCATGGTGCCTTTTTCTGCCGCTATCTACATCGTAAGCATCGATAACTCGGAGTCTTACTCCCCATTTTGTTTTCACGGCAGATGCTAAAATGGCGAGTTTATCTTGGCAATTCTAAGTAACAGTAAACAACAAGCAAAGCGTGTTAAGGGTATAAGCTATCATAGTTAAATTGACATCTATGCATGACTTATAGCAAGCCTACGGTGCTATCGATGAACATGCATGTCGTCGACGCTATACAAGGACACCGCAAATATTTCCCCCAGGCGCTCTTTAGATTCTAAGATAACAGCACTGAAGCCAGCCCGTGCGCTTTCTTGCAGTCCCCAACCATTATTTTGATGAGTCAATTATGTTCTTATTGCAGTGTCCTTGGTTGATAATCGAATTATCGCTTGCAATTGTTTATTATGCTCTTTATTAAAAATAAGCTGTAATTCTATCGACATGCACTGCCCAGAAAAAGCTTTGCTTATCTGAAATGCTCCACTAAGCAGGTAAGCTCTAATAGGACAGGAAATACCGTTCTTTGAAAAAACACATGAATAGCAAAGCAATAACCACTACTTAACAAAACAAAGCTTAACATCAGCACTTCAGAACTCTCGGTTAGGAAACTTGATTCGTGAACTCAATCCACGCATCATCGGTAGTCTTATGTCTGGGAGTTTAGTAAAATTTTATTTGAAAAGCTTTGAGAAATGATAATTTTTCTGGTACAATTTCCCTTTAAAATCGAATAAAACCTTGATGAACCTTGGATGGACAAATACATTACGATTAACTCGGATTTCATAAGATGGCGAGCAGAATTGTTCCAGATACCTTGTGACGTAACCCTTAAATTTTGGACTTCTAACCCGTGCAAAATTTGCGACCAATAACACATCATCGACACTCTCGGATCGACGCAATAAAGATGATTACTTTCGACCGGTTAATGCTAATTATCGTTAGCATTTAGCATTTGACAGTTAGAATTGCATGAGAATAGCATCCTGAATATGGCGAATTTGTCCATGTATGGCCGTAAATGAAGCAAGTAATCCATGTATGGGTACTGAAACCATAACGTTTGATTGATTTCACTTAAGGATTTAGTCCATAATTTTCAAATAATCCAAAATTGCAATAGCGGTTACCTTGGTCATTCTTCTATCATCTTCATTTTTTTCGTCGTTTTTGAAAACGATATCTGGGTTAAAATTTTCCTCCAATTCACTTCTCTTTACTCGACCAACATATTCTCCACTGGCTTGTATTGAGGTCTCCTCCACATCAGGGATTCTTTGTCGAAACTTCATCGGAGTCCTGGAACGAGTATTTCTTCCGGTTGGCCCAGGACCACAGGCCAGAAGGTTTCCACAAAGAAACGAAATAATCGCCAGAGTAAAATATACTTGTGGGACAGTAGGCACTTTCGGCCAGAGACAAACACGCGGATACAAGTGGGATCTCATCTCTCTTTCGAGAAGCTTTAACTAAGGCACGAGAATGTTCTCAGGAGGAACGGTGTCGCTGATCACTCTAATTAAGAAAATAAAGAAATATGCAGTTTTCATAACCTTGGATTCATCAATGTACTAGAAGGAAAGAGGGAATGCTATGTAAGCAACGAAAACCACGTAGCGCTGTATGACAACATCAATTGACTTTGCGTTATAAGCGTTAAAGAAGACAATACAAAACAATAAAACAACTACTTAGACGGAGCGAGAACTCCAAGCTATTTCAAAAGCTGCCGATCTGTTGGCGACAAGCCTGGATTCGTAAGGTAAGATCAGCGTCAATAGTTCCTCATTGATGAGGGACAAAGCATTTGACTCACATCAGACTCACCAAAAGATCTGAACAAACTTCTCTGCATCGTAGCAAATATCAGGTCGTCTTCGTAACTTGATCGAATATCGAAACCCTCAGGCTTGTCTCTGGCATTTTTGGACCCCTGGTGGTAAGGTTTTTGCTGGATAAAATCGGCAACCACAAGTGCACCTTATGAAGGGAATAAAACACACAAAACTCAGCGATTTGTGACCAATCAATGTTGCACTCTGGGGCGTCATTAGAAAACAATAGCAACTATGAGCAGGAACAAAGCTGTACTGCTTTATAACCACCAGTCTTGCTAATTTGTCGGCGAATGTCAACGAGTAGTAGTTTTACTAAAAGGTTTTCATGTTTAATTAGTGGCAACGAACATTCGTGACTTGAGAAAAGACAATTACAGAACTCTCGATGGTCAATCACTTGCCCTATTAATCTCATCGAACTTCGAAGTGAAACGGTCGTGAACCTTCGACACTTCTAACACACCTCGGCTCGCTTCGGCTGGATAAGAGTGACTCAAGTATTAGTTTTCTCGTGCTTTGGATGAATATAATCAAATTAACAGCAATTAGAAAATCCAGTCATAACTGTCCTTGTACTTGAGATTTGGGCGACAACAAAGATTTTACTAGAGACTAATTTCAACATTTCAGCTCTAATCCGCCGAACGGGAACGACCACATATGATAAGGTTTATCCGCTTGGAGATCTTAGATAAATTTTTCGACCGATCTGATAACTCACAGGTATGTATGTTTTGAAACTTAAATAAAAAAGTCTTAAATACTTTATATCAAAAAGCTTAAAACTTAAACTGCTGTAAGCGCACTAAATCTTCAGCTTTCTTGCGTAAGTTGAATATTTCACTTGGATTTTGTCAAAAAGCCAGTTTAAACATAATAGTATTAACAGAATTAAAATTAAAAAAACCCTAAAACAAACAAAAGCGATTGAAGAGAATAGAAAAAGATAAAAGTAAAACACAAAACAATGAACTTTGGGAGAACGAATCGCTTTGATGAACCACGACAGAGGACAGCTTGGTTTGGGTTTCTAGCTAGCTCAAATCACTTAAAGTCAATATATCAAAAGCTATTTTTAAACGACCCTAGATTCCTTTCCCTTGTTATCATTTGTGCTGGCGCAGTGTCTAGTCATCTATGCTTCCTATTGCTTTTAATTACCTGGGTTATAAAAACTACGACCGATAAAAATAGCATTTAGTTCGAAAACAGCGGCTTGATTAAAATCACAGTCTACCCCCTCTTTGTCTCTCTCTTTTCAGTAAAACGCTGGACTGTTTTGCTTTTCGGAGAAAGTTTTCAATTTTTAGGTCTAATTTCATGTAAACTACGGACGAAAACTCCCTGTATCAAATATGGAGCTTGATAAAATTCACCTTGATTATATGATTAGCGGATAACTTTCTTTACAATTTTAAAAACAGAAGCAATACTTCGGTTGTATTAGAATCCCTTTACGTAAATATTAAAGTGTTTTTTCGAAATAAATATTTTCATTTTTCCCAGCCAAACTTAACTTTCTGTCAAAACGATCTTCGTCTGCCATTTTTGCCAAAGAGGGGAACTGGCAAGGGCCAATCCGAACTGAAATATTCAGTCCTAATACCTGAAATTCCAAGTCGTGGTCAAATCCGCAAATATCTCGTAAGTCCGCCCGTCATTCAGTTGTAAATCCACCCAATTTGTTTAAATACATTTAGGGGTTGAAGGACCGGAAGAAATAAACGAAAGTATTGCAAATAATTTTTAGATCTCGGTATCAAGTTCACGAAAAGTTACTTCGCAGTTGATGTTTTCCGTTTCAAATTTTTCTAAAATATAGATGAAAACTCCTTATATCGGATATAGAGCTAGAGAAAATCTACTTTGACCATATAGCCAGTCGGTAACTTTTTTAAAAAAAAATTGAAAAACAACAACAGCATTTCGCTAGCATTAGCATTCCATGTGTGAATGTGTTTTTTGACATACATTTTTTCTGGCAGCTTAACTTTCTGTAGAGGCAAGGGGCAGACCCAACCTGAACTGAAATAGTTCGGTTTAATTCCCGAAATTCCGAATCTTCATCAAATCCACGGTTATCTTGTAACTCCGCCCGTCCTTCAGATGTAAATCCATTAAATTTTTCTAAATACATTCACGAGGTGAAGGACCGGAAGTAATAAGTTGAAAAGATTACAAATAACTTTAGGATTTCGGTATTAATTCATGGAATAGTTACTTCGGCAATGATGATTTCCGGAATCAACAGTGTCTTGTTTATTTCAATTGGCTCTAGCCAGCTCTGCATATGTCCTGAACGGAAAACATCAACAATTTAAACTTGTAATTTGACTGGTTTAGTGTCAACGTAAAAGCTAAATGACACTGACGCATAGACAACTGTAAGTTTGCGGGGATTAACAGTGCACTTCAGAGAACTAGAAAAATGACTGGAATTTAACTCTGAACGTTCGATTTCAACAAAGCAATTTGGTTCTTAGACGATGTTGTATAACGGTATTTGAAAACGTTTTTTCTAGTGGATATTGAAACAATATATACTTCCGGATTCGAAAAGTAATATGAATTCTTTTTTTAGGTGACATAGAGCTTTGTTCTGATAACTTTTCAACTTACTTCCTTTTTTTCTAGGTATGGACTTGAATATGTCTGCTGGGGCGCATCAATGTAGCAGGCATTAACATTCAAACTAAAGACGTTAAGCTTGCACGGGAGATTAACATCCACAGTAAAAAAGAAAGTAAACACCTTCAAATATGACCTCTCCGTTGATACTTGAAAAAATATATATATATACCAAACGAAAAAGGAAGATAATTTTTGAAACTAAAGCTAATAATGATGGTTATTAGTTAGTAACATAATGGTAGATGTAAGTCTGAACATATCACCTCGAGCAATTGAACATTTCCATTTGTTTCCCCGTGATTGCAGCTTGGGAAAAAGGACCATCAAGTCGACTAAAAGCTACGAAAGTCGCTATTAAAGCTATTAAAGAGCCGGAACGTTTCCGTTACTACGCGTGTATGTGTATTTTATTTGAAGACAAGTATGCACTGGCCATACATTTTAACTCTATCGTAATTTTTAATGAAAAAGAGGAAGCCACAGAGCGAATATTTTCAACAATCATCTGCCTCAGCAGATGTCGACCATGAACTAAATGATACTGCGGTGTTTTTACTCAAATATAAGTCGTTGAAGTACTTTCAAATCATCAGACAGCGGATTTCGTTTTGTTTTCGAATCGCAAATTTTGGGCACTAGTCAACAGAGACCTGACGGACTGAAACTTTTCTACGAGAAAGAAATCGGAGTCACATTGCAACGACTGTTAATTGCATTTCCTACTAAAAGATTTGTAATTGATCAATTTATGTGTGTGTCACAGGCAAATTGGTACAAATAACATTTACTTCTTTCTTTCTTTACCTTTACCTTTACCTTTGGGATCCATATCCTGTGTTTTGTTAAAATCAGAGCGTAACAATAACTAATCATAATCTGAGGTTCCCAGTGGCGACCTTGACTAGATAAAAGTTGACTTACTCAAAAGAATTATTTCCTTAAATGTTGTTCGACAGTGCTGTTGCTGGAACTGAAATTTCCAACCTTAAAGTCCCATAACCTTTAAATAATGTAACCTTTAAACGTTGCAACGCACCACAAACTTTGTTCGTAACAACTCGAGTGTTCAATCTGCTATGACTCCCACGGAAAAACACACTCTCTAAAAATGCTTTTAAGTCGACACATGACAATTATAGAGATGGAACATTGCAACTCCTTTATCGAGGTTATGTTTCTTAAATTACTTCTAATCGCTATGGGAAATATGCTTGGTATAAACAAACCAATCAAGTGTTTCGATAAAAACCATTTTGATAAACCCAAGTGCTCACACGCCTCTGTCTCAACAGGTGTTTACTCATAAGCTCGCCATGTTAGATAAAATGTGAGCAAAGGAAAGATTTTTTTTAAGGTTGATGGTTTCGGAGAAGAATAAATATCGATGAAATAATGTGCCTAACGACTGAGTTCCTTTGAGTGAAAGGTAAACGCCACCAATATCCGACCCTTACGGTTAGGAGACAGACACTTACGCTTTAAAGGCTCGTATTGTCTCAATATTATGTCTAATCCAAAAATATCAACCAGTACTCTACTTTACTGGGCCCCTCAGACATCTACCTCACCTAGCAACGTGAAGTGTTGTTACATCAAGACATAATCACCTTACAACCTTATAATCTTTTTCTTACTGCGCACAAATCACGGCTTTTGGATGTTTTTGTTAAAGACAGATTATTGCTGATAGGGGAAAATTTTTTCAAAAGAGTAAAAATCCTGCCAATATATTATGCAGTGGTCACCTTCCCTGAAGTCCTGAAGGGAAGATATTAGTAGAAATCTAAAAACCACCAGAACACCATTTAAGGTGCAACAGGAAGGCTTATTTTAGTCCCGCAAGAGTAAAGGAAATTACTTGCAAGTCTGTGAGGAATCTCGTAAAGTCTGAACATTAACCATGACGATAGATTTCGCAAGACTCTCAGAACTTGTCTCTTCCAAGTAACTGAAATTTTAGCTCCGTTCTTCTATCTCTTTTAATTGTTGTCATCAACTAAAGAACATAAACTGTTACATCTTACATAAAACGATATGGATTCACTGTGTGCGATTTTCAAATAATTCTTGAGACTGCTCTAAATAAACTGTACTGCTAAAAATAAGGAAACTTCAAAAGCAGTAATTTACTAAAAACAAGTTTGGATTACTGCCCCACCCTCAAAGCACTGACACACTTAGTTGAAATATAAAGAATAATTGAACAATTTTAAGATCGTTAATTCACAAGAGTATTCACAGGGAGTGAAACTGATTTACAGACCCCCTGGTTGAACGGTTCTGATTTTATCAAATCGAAATTGTCAGAAATTAAATTGATTAATGGTCAATCTACAGCTTTGAGGTAACATTAATTTTGACGCTCTCTGTCGATATTTTGAAAAACTAATTTTCCAGAGAGAAAAGACGTTTATAACCGCGACTAGGATTTTCTCGGTCTAGCATGTAGCCCTTGGCAATTGCCTGAACGAAAACTATTATATTGTATTTCTTAATTTATCACTGCCAATAGAGTGCTTTTAAAGAAGTCTTTTCACTTGCACGCGACTGAGCACCAGTTTCTTTGCGATGGAATGTCTATGTTGTAGAATTTTTTATTGCTAAAGATTCAAATCGGAAGATCAGCGAAGCCCTACCAATATGTACCCATCCAAATAAACTTTCTATTTCATAATGCGATATTTCGGTCATTCGCAAAACAGTAATAATTTACAACTGAACTGAAATGACTGCCTGGCCATGTGTGATAAGGTTTATGAGATCAAGCTAAAGCCTTTTTCCCCTCACATTGTATCCACTGTTTTCGTGGAATTTGTGCAAAGAATTAGAAAACCTTTCGAAAAGAGACCTATTCATTTTTTTCCGTCCAGTGTTCTTCCAGTCACTCCCGACTGATGATAAGGACATTAAGTTCTTTATCGTTCATTAATCATGGAAAGTGAATGATTAAATGTGATGAAAATAATTACGCCAACGGAATTCAAACGGAAAGCAAAGACTTTTGGAACGTAGAGAACGTCCAAGTAAATGAAGAACGCATATGGTAGCTATCTCAGACATTAGCATATATCGCCGCAGCTAAGAGCTCAAGTCTTTTATTGTGAAAAAACAAATGCACAACAAAAAGTTAATTAGTTCGAGCATAACTAACACAGTTATTCAATTCGAAAAATCCTAAGGAACTGCTCACCATTGTGTTACCAAATGGCCTTTGTTTCTGCCACAATTTTTAAAATCATGCTTGACGATGTTTGGAGAACGGCTTCACAAGTATCAAGATTTGGTTCGCGGTTACGATGAGTGTGGCACGATCGGAGTTTTACTGTGTACCACAACGATTAAACGAAGTTTCGCGACAGTCAGCATGAAATATTGCAAGAAGAGGTTGTTCGATTTCTTACGTACTTATTTATAACCTGATAGGTTTCCAGTGTTTCACGAAACAAAATAATCACGATCAATTAATAATTAATGACTTGCCAAAAATTTTTTTCGGGTACCGGACTAACTCTCACTTTCAGCTCATGAAGGCTTTCTTAAATTCTTTCAAGTGAGGCCAAAAATCGATCATTAACCTTCAAATCATGAAAGCCTTTGTAGTGAAGAGCGTACATATGTACGCTATACTTGGATATATATGCATTCTGTTGCGGAATGGACAAACTTCTGGGAGTTCCTTATCGTATAACCAGCAGTTCGGTTTGGAAAAAACAATATGCCTTTTGCAATTGCAGATGTAAAAGTCGGATCACAAAGGTTGATAAGTTGTACTACACGATGAGTTGTGATTATTTTTGGAAGTGAATTTTAGCCGGTTGAATAAATGGCTAAAAGTAGCAACAGCATATCGTTTCTAAACAGTTTAAATATCCCAGTCAAATGACACATTTAGAACACCTGACCATACTATAGAAAACCCTTCGCGCTAAGATTTGAAACAAGCGTTCAGCTTAAATACAAAAGTCAGAGTGAGCTTGAAAGCCCCGTCTTTGTTTTAAGAGAGAGAGGTGGGAAATTAAAGTTACTGTGATATCACTTCGAAAGATAAGTAGTGAATATACTGCTAGGGAGTTGGGACTTTCTCCGATGCGCAGCAGTATTACAGTCCGATAGGCTGTTTGTAGATCTAACAAGGTAAAATGAGAGCTATGGTCAAATTTACATGAAAATAATGGCTTCCATACCCCGATTTGAACCTCTGCCTGAATACAATCAGCAAGCAACAACGGATTAATGTCCGTCTCTTTGCCTTGTACCTTCAGTTGTAGACACTCACTTGGATCACTAGCTCGTTCCCCGCCCTCTTGGCTTTTTCCCACCTTAATGCTGATCAACGGTGGCGCCAATTCTGTTTCGTGATCAGCCCTTGAAAACACTCGGCCGGCATTGACATGTTCTGGAAAGAGGCATCTGTTGCGACTGATGCGTCTTGGAGTGCAAATCACTTCAACAATTCATCAGTACTTATTCGCCTGGGAAGAAAGATAAGGTCTACAAAACCGAAGTGTTTTGCACGCTCGGCTGGAAAGGACATGAAACAGGCCTGAACTTCGACCCTCGTAATTATTCTCTTCGTTATCACATACCTCGTCCAATTTCGATGTTTAAGGAATTTTTCTCATCCAATTAGTTAGACAACGGATCTTCTTTTTGTCATTTTTTTGCATATTATTTAGCATGATGTCTAAGAACGGGCACCTAATATTCCCCCTACTTATAGTACCCTAAGTTCATAATGGCTGCATACAGACCTGACTTTTTTCCTAAGTGTTTCTTTCGTGTTTGTAAAGTGTAATTGTTCTGAATTGCGTCTATGTAGTAATGTTTGGTAAATATCGACGACAACAATTTTAAGCCGTGGAATTTTTAGCTTTCACTCCTCAAACGTAATTATTCAGTCCAATCCTATAAGTAAAAAGGTTTGAAGGTTTTTATAACGTTACTTTATACCGCTCCATCACGTTCTCCTATGTAATCTCGGCGAGTTTCTTAAACCATGGTTGATGTAATAAGCTTCCTGATTGGACAACGTTATAATTGCGAGATCATAAGAGTAATTTTTTTTGATATTCGTCGTCGAATCAATTTGGACTTAGCACTGCGAGCACATTCATTATTAATGTTACTCGCATATTAAGGTACAAAAACTGACAGACGCGATTTTAGGATTCCTTAGTTAATCGGTTTAGAAAACGAAACGGGTTATTAAGTCATACACTAAGGCAAAACATTTTCAAAAGGACTTTGGTGTTCACGTGGGATAAACATGATATCAGGTGATTACCAACTTTTGATATTTTATATACAAAAAAACTACGGGATCTTATCTCAACATACACTTCGCGCGCAAGCAGACGCTTCCTAGCGACGCTCGAAAAACAAGTGATCCATACTGAGCACTATATATTCAGAAGGGAGGATTTGATGAGCAATTTATCACAATTAACCTTTTTCCGCAAATTCTCTCGAACAAAATACTTAAGTAATTATACGTCAATGAAAGTTGATCTCAAAACCGCTAAATGGCTATAAAAAAAAAAGCTACAAGACTAAAAATAATCAGTCAGAAAAAAAAATACTTTTAAGATTTAGTTAAAAACTCGAATAACCAATTACATTGTTTTCATTTGTTGTTATATTATAATTCTTTTATTCATAATAGGGATAAAAACTCAGCTCTTGAAAGAAATGTTGAACAGCTCGGATCCGACACTTTCTGCTGCGCAAAAGCAAAGTTTGAGCTACGCATTTAATATCTTCATTCTCCAGAAACAAAAGTTTCTCGACATAAACGGTTCTCAGTTGACAGCGCGTGACTATTTCCTGCCCATTCCTCAAAGATTTCAAATACCAATCAGAGGAAACGTAGTACGTTTGGCTTGCTGAGGGGAACCTGGCGATAAATGTCAGGTGACAAGGGTGACTGTAGTACATTTGTGCTTAACCCAGCTTGATTTTTCGACCAGCTTTATATTTTGTTATTTTGTTATTGTATTGAGATAGCACTTTCTCACAGGAAGCCTTCATTCACAGCCACAGAAGAAGAAAAAAAAGGCCAGACGTGACACCTAGCACGCTAGCGACTGAGTATTGGTTATGTGAAAACACATTAACGACAGACGATTTATAATTAATACAAACAGCTCTTTTGAAAGGGCGGCAGTATTGAAAATACTGCTCTTATAGAGAAGTGCACAAAGTTAAGTGATCTCTCTGAGTAGAGGTACCGCTTGACGATTAGTCGTGTTGTGCCAGGAGCATAAAAGAATATCTCGATAAAAAGTCTTTAAAATTTTTCATCCAACTGATGACATTTCCTCGAATCCAAATCTGAAAGAAACGGTCGGAATGTGTTTACTAAGTGGAATTTGGCTGAGACCGATAGATAGTTTTGAAATAACGCTTTGCCTGTTTATTCATCGAAAAGATAAATATTTCTTTATCGAAGAGTCTCGTCTGGAAATGACTGTAAAATAAGAACCCATTCTCTCACACGATCAGGGAGTTACTCTAAGCCAGTCAGTGAATTTAAGTTCTCCATGAAGTTAGAAGTTGAGAAAACTATGTCGCGTTTTTTTTTTTTTTCAGAGAAAGGGCATTTTTTAAAGGTATACCATGACGAGAATAGGACAAAATGCACGCGAAGGCTATCTAACATTGAGTACGATAACAGGCCTTACATCAGACGAAGGTAGACATCACAAATTATTGTGGTTAAAGAAGAGCTTCAAACGTAGTAAGTTATAGTTATAAAGCGACAATTTTTCCCTCACGGTGTTTCATCGATTCGGTTATCAAAACACTTTTTGGAAAGTACGAAGAGAGTGAGCTCCAAAGGGCGAGTTTAGAAATGTAAAACAGTTTCCTTTTGGTCTTCAGGTTTGTAAGAAGCCAACAGCCGTTCAAATCAAAC